GAAGTGTTTTGTTATTCAATTAACGAACTTTTGCGATTTTAAATTTCAATCAAGATTCTTAATACCTATAACATTTAAAATGCTAATGGCAAGGTGTGCTAACTGTTTAAATATCTAAATTTAAATATTACAATGAATGTGGTGGAAAAAATATATTTTGCAACTATTGTCTAAAAAAGAGTTATACTTAACAGTTTTAAGGCCGGATATGCATTTTAATAGTATTTGAACATAAAGTTTTGCCTGGTCAAAATTACAAAGCACATACCTACCTACCAATGTATATTGTGTAGAGTTTGGCTTTAAGCTTTAGAAACATTATAGGTACTATGCTCCACACCTCAAAGTCCCACCACGTGACCACGTACGGAACGCAGTCTTTTGAAAATTTGGCATTTAAGGCTTTTCAGGTTATGTATCTGTCAAAGTATAGTCAACGAAAGAAATAATATTATGTTTAGGCGTTAAAAATGTATAAATCTTTATAACATTACAATAACAATGGATGGTTTAAAAATTTAAGAATATAAATACTGCATTTAATGAAATTCTAAAGTGTATGGTGCCAAATAAGTAATATTTTTGTGCATTTGGTCCAAATATCTGGTTTTCTCCATAAAATAATTTTAACTAAACAGCATTTATTTAAAAAAATCTAGCTTCTCTATTATGGAATGAGAATATCTGTATTAAAGGTAGGTTAATATATTAAAACAAAAATATCATCTAATTTTATAATTTTTAGGTTAGAAAAATTTATTTTGACCAAAATAAATAAGTATTTTGGATTATTTAAAAGACTGTATAATATGGTATTTAAAAATGTAGTAGTTTTTCTTGTCCAGCTTAAAGTGTACCTACATAAAGTTTTGTCAATACAAATAGTTAAAAAGCTTCGGCTGAATTTGATCTACATCAAAAAATCATTATAACTTTAAAAATTTTAATAAATCACATGTCATGGGAGTATTAAATATTTTCACATTGCAAGTTTCTCTAAAAATTGTTTGTTTTCTTATAATCTAACTTAAAGTAAGTATGCCGAGAGGTATGCACAAGTTTTGTCGTTAAAAGTATTAAAGCTTCAATTTAATTTGAACTATATTCAACAATTATTTAGTATACCTATATTTATTTATGACCATATTCAAATAATCCACATATTTATTTTGGTCAAAATATTTTCTAACCTTAAAATACAAAATTAGATGATATTTTTTGTTCTAATACATTAACCTACCTTTGATACAGATATTCTTATTTCATAATAGAGAAGTAAGATTTTTTTTAATAAATGCTGTTTAGTTAAAACTATTTTATGGAGAAATGTAGACTCAATGCACAAAAATATCACTTATATTGCACCTTACACTTTGGAATTTCATTAAATGCAGTATTTATATTCCTAAATTCTTAAACCAACCATTGTTATTGTGATACTATAAAGATTTATTAACTTTTAACGCTTAAAAATAAGCGGTAACACTATAAATATTATTTCTTTCGTTGACTATACTTTGACAGATACATAACCTGAAAAGCCTAAAATGCCAAATTTTCAAAAGACGTGGTCACGTGGTGGGACTTTGAGGTGAGTACATACAGTGTTGGCCATAATTTTTGGAACCAATGTAAAAAAAAATCTAACTCTAAAACGCCTTTATTATTCTTTATGAAATTTTGGATAAAAATACTTCAACTTATACCTCAGTTTACGTGTTCGAGGGTTTTTCGACAAAATATTTTTAAAGCCCTTTATTTTAATAAGTAGGTACTGTAAATGCAATGACATAATTTGTATTGTTTTTGGCATTGCATTAAATGCATGCTAGTTTGTAATAATTTAAAAAAATTATACATTTCTAAAAAGACTTGAAATTATGTCGTATCAGTCGTATTTTGCAAGGAAATCCAAGTAAAACGAGAGCTACGTTCACGTCGAAGTTGGCGGCGCGACTGAGCGTCCGCGTCTTTCGAAGCGGGGGCGTGGCCAAGAAAACCGCGACCCGGGAAGGGGACGAGCGCGCTTCACGATTGGTCCGCTAGCTGCGAGCGCCATGAAAAACCTGCCGTTCGGATTGGCGCGCGCGATAGAGACGGAAGAGAGGCCACCTATAAAACGCTTAACTGTACATTTTCGTTCACAGACTTCTCGTGGATGCTTCGGCTGCTGCTCCCGCATTTTTCCTCGACGTTTGCAATGAATGCGTATTCTTTTGCTGGGGTTTGTTTTGTGCCGAGGAGAAATCACGCAGTTAATATAGGTTAGAAAGCGCCTTTCGAGAAATCTACCTGGTTTCTCTTTTGTGGTCTCGTTTTTTTTTTGTACCCACATTGACATGCATGAAGCCCAAGGAGGTTTCGTTAACCCATATTGCAATGCTAAAAAATAAATAAATAACTTTACCAGAGGTTTTGTCAAAAAAATATGTGCAAACACTACAGCAAGGTTTTGTGCTCCGTCTGCTTCGTAGACGTTGTAGACAAAACAACAAAACAGTTTTTTCTTTCGAGTTTCAGACGAAATTGACTTTGCATTAATTTCTTATTTTACCTGTTTCGGCGGATATGACTTGCAAGTCATGGAAAAATGCATTTGCTCGTTAAACGATGACTAAGGTTAAAATCGAAACCGCCTAATGTATTTTTTGTTTTGTTAAAATTAAAAAGAAAATTAAAAATTTCGTTATAATTAGCCGAACAATTAATTTAAAATTCATTGGCAATTAATTGAATTAAAAAAAAATAACCTTAATGGTTGATTTAAATTGTACTTCTTCGAAAAAGTTTTTCCCGAATTGCGGAAGCAACGGTAATTGATTTTTTGATTTATTTTTTTCATTGTTTTTTGGGTATAAATCAAAATATTTTATTCGTGCGTGTATAAATAAAAAAAATTATAAAAAATGTCATATGGTCGTAAAATTTTTATAAATAACATTTATAGCTCCAATAAATAAATGTTCTAGGAACAGTAGGACGTTTTATTAAAAAGCGTTTTTATGGCAGTAGTAAACAAATCAAAATGATGAATAAATTAGCATTCAAAAATCAAAACTTTGAATATTAAAAAACGAACGTAAAATCGCTAATTTAGTAAATTTATGGACACTATTATGATAAAAATGTAATTTGTCTTGCCTACCTACACAGACTGCGCTTAGGCAACACAAATTACAAATTCGGTGTTGCCAGGTCGCTTTTTATTAAAAAACGGTAGTTATTAAATACTTCACAGAAAACAAAAAATTTAGAGATCAACTTGCAAATATTTGTCATTATTAAGCTGATACTTGAAAAAAAAAACAACTTTGGTGGTATGTTAAACAAATATTAGAAAAAACTAGAGTCATGGAAAAATGCATTTGCTCGTTAAACGATGACTAAGGTTAAAATCGAAACCGCCTAATGTATTTTTTTTTTGTTAAAATTAAAAAGAAAATTAATATTTCGTGATAATTAGCCGAACAATTAATTTAAAATTCATTGGCAATTAATTGAATTAAAAAAAAATAACCTTAATGGTTGATTTAAATTGTACCCAGTGCAGTGGTAATTTTGTAATGTTATCTTTACATTTTAAAATACTGCTTTGAAAAACACAATAATTAGGGAAAAAACTTTAAAGAATTCTTAGTAAAACACCCGTGCATAGCGCATGCCTACGAAAAACTTTTTGTAACGTTCGCACGTGACGTCACGTGTTATAATTAAAGCTCTTAACTTAACTTAAGAAACCTACGTCTGTTAAGTTGTCTGTTTACATTAACTTAAAGCCGGGTCTACAATTGTCGCAGAACGCAGATCGCAGAACGTAAGCATGCGCAAAGCACCCAGCGACGTTGCGATGGAGCAAGGTCACACGTCGCAGAAAGTTAATTCATCTTCAATAACGTCTTTCGCAGGCTTTTATGTTAGCCAATCATAGAGCGCTAGAATCTATCTGTCTCTGTGCTCTCTTTCTTTCAATAATCAATACTTTATTTAGTTCCTTTTCCTATTTCGCGGTTATTTTTAAATTTTTGGTGTAATTCTCAGAAATTATTCGAAAAACGTAATTGTCCAAATTTAAAATAATTTTCAATATTTTCTAAAGACCATTTAAATAAATGTAGGTATGTATATTCTTATTACTATTGAATATTCATACCTATATTGATTTAAATAGGTAGTTTTTAGGAAATATCGAAAATCATTTAGAATTTTCAAATTTTGATCAAAATAATTATATAAAATTTTAAATAATATTAACTAATTCTATGATAATCTAAACAATTTTTCCCATATATATATATTTTTCCAATATATATAATAATAATATATATTATATAATATATAATATATAATATACAAATATAATTATATATAAACTCTTAAACATTTTTTACCTAAAAATAAACCCCAAGCAGTTTTTTAGAGATAGGGATCCATCCATATCTCTGTTTTTTTCACTAAATTAAGGGGAAACACTTCTACGTTGGCCACACTGTGGTTATAAAGAAAACAATTGCTCTGATTGGTCAATAAAAGCACATCGCGCGACAATTGTAGACAGCTCACATAACAACGACGTGTGACCTTGCTCCATCGCAACGTGGATGGGTGCTTTGCGCATGCTTACGTTCTGCGATCTGCGTTCTGCGACAATTGTAGACCCGACTTAATACAGACAAAAAACGTAATATACAAGCACGCGCAATGTAAGACTGGGTTGCCTATCTATCTATAAAAGTGAAACAACAAGATAGCGCTATATCGTTTTACTGGGCATGTGATTGGCTCACGTAAGAAACGTATTCCCTTAAGTTGAGCCGGACCCAACTTTTGGATACGTTAAGTTACGTGTGATAAGTTTTCAACGAATGTAAACAGCTGCATTGGTTTCAATGTATTTCAACTTACGTCTCTCGCGTACGTTAAGTTAAGTTACGCGTATTAAGCGGATGTGAATGAGCTTTTATGACATGGTTATTTGAAGCAACATTTTTCGTGTGTTTCAGACCGAACCACAGCCAAGGCGGGCACCCACCAGTGCCGGACATCTATAAGCCCTCGCGTTCGCCGTCGGCGGCGCGTTACTCCGCCGCCTACCCTGGGGGCGGTCAACAGCAGCAGCAGCAGCAGAATGCGCAGTCGGCGGCGGGTCAAGGGGCGGCGTCCGTCGTGGTGCCGCCGTCGTCGGTCAACCTGCACAACCAGGTGCTGCAGCAGCAGCAGCAGCGGTACGTGGGGGGGCAGGGGCAGGGGCACATGCCCCCCGCCCAACCCCAACTGCTCTACAGAGATTTCAGGTGATTATTTTTTATTTTTCAATTTTTTTTAACGAACCGATAAATCTTAGATTAAGCCTCGTATCGAATAATTTTTGTAAAATATAATTTTTTAGTGCTTTTTATAGGCAAAACCGAATATCTTTGCTGCACAGCGATTACGCGGCTCGATCCAGGGAGCTTCAGGGGGTCGTGATAGACGACGGCATGGGGGGACAGCAACCCCTCAAAAAAATCCGCCTGTCGGACAAGGACCCAGTGCAACCCCTTAGAATAGAAACCAGGGTAAGAATTGCCTATTAGTGTTTTTTTCAGGGTTCAGGTTACCTAATTAAAATACAATTCTTTCAATAAAAAGGATCAACCTGGCGCGTACAACCCTCAGGTCGAGGCGATATCTCCGACGTTGCCGGATCACGTGCAGCAAGAAGATCAGCAGTTTCGCACGACCAAGGACGAGCTGATCCAGCAGATCGGCAAGGTCGATCGGGAAATCGCCAAGGCCGAATCTTCGATCGCCATTTTGAAGAAGAAAGAACAGGAACTCGAGGAGATCGCTAACAAACCGTCGGTTAAAGGCGAAGTCGAAGAGGACACGCAACCCAAACACCAGAGCCTACACCAGGTATTTTTTTTCATTTTTTCACCTCCCAAAAGTCGAAGTCCAATTTTCAAAGTGTAAGTCCATATTTTAAAAGTGTAAGTCCAGATTTTAAAAGTGTAAGTCCATTTTTTCAAAAGTGAAGTCCAGATTTTAAAAGTCGAAGTCCATTTTCAAAAACTCGTTTTTCGTCGATTGTAGAAAATCTACGCGGAAAATCGCAAGAGGGCGCAGAACGCGCACGCGAAGCTGGACACGCTGGGCCCCAAGGTGGAATTTCCGCTGTACAATCAGCCCAGCGACACGTCGGTTTACCACGAGAACAAGCGGAAGCACATCGCGTTCAAGGGCCGCCTGATCGAATATTTCAAGAAACGTCACGTGGAGAAGGAGAACAGGTGAATGAGTCCATTTTTTGATGTAGAAGTCCATTTTTACCGAGTGTTTTTTTTAGGAATAATTATTTGGCCGAAACGTACTCCAAATTAATGCAGGAATGGCTAAGGAAGGTGGACAAAATCGAGTCCAGTTCGAAGAGGAAAGGAAAGGAGGCGAAAAACAGGGACTTCTTCGAAAAAGTTTTTCCCGAATTGCGGAAGCAACGGGAGGATAAAGAAAGGTAATTGATTTTTTGATTTATTTTTTTCATTCAATATTTTATTCGTGCGTGTATAAATAAAAAAATTATAAAAAATGTCATATGGTCGTAAAATTTTTATAAATAACATTTATAGCTCCAATAAATAAATGTTCTAGGAACAGAAGGACGTTTTATTAAAAAGCGTTTTTATGGCAATCGTAAACAAATCAAAATGTTGAATAAATTAGCATTCAAAAATCAAAACTTTGAATATTAAAAAACGAACGTAAAAACGCTAATTTAGTAAATTTATGGACACTGTTATGGTAAAAATGTCATTTGTCTTGCCTACCTATACACACTGCGCTTAGGCAACACAAATTAGAAATTCAGTGTTGCCAGGTCGCTTTTTATTAAAAAACGGTAGTTTTTAAATACTTCACAGAAAACAAAAAATTAGAGATCAACTTGCAAATATTTGTCATTATTCAGCTGATACTTGAAAAAATACAACTTTGGTGCCCAAGCAGCATTTTAAGTTTAAATAACTACAACTTTACTACTAAGTCAACTTTAAAGTATTTTTACGGTTAATCAAAACGGTTTTATAACGGTATAGATACAAAAAATTACCAAATTTGGTGAATGGTTTATTTCGTTATTTTACCTACATAATAACCTATTGGATCTACTAAGAGAATAACGTAATAAAAACAATATAAATACCACAAATTTACTTAAAAATAACGTTTTAATTACTAACTGTTTGCTCTCTCTTTCAAAAACATTGACATTCGTAATTTCTTTGTTCTTTTAATTTATATTTTACAAAATGGTACTTACAAAGTAATAAAGGTCACCCTAGAGTAAAATTATAAAATATTACTTAAATTGTCAAAACTAATAATATTTTGTATTAAAACTCAAACGCACATTATTTTATTGATAAAAATAAGCAGGATACATCTTAAAAATTACATACCCTCTAAATATTTTACAGTTTTAAGAAAAATTATTGCTTGGGTAAAAATTCAACAAAACTTAAAACCTACAAAATTTTATAAAATCTTTTATAATTATTTAGTTTTAATAATTTTTTAATAACTAAAACTTTCTTTATTATATTTTAGAAAAATATTTATGAAAAAATATCATATAAATGTTTAGATAAGTAATGGATGCAATCTTAAAAAATTCATTATGGCGACCTGAAAAAAAATTTCCCTTAAAGTTTTATTTTTCACTTAAAGCTTATTTTTCCTTGTATAGTTAATATTAAAAGTATTTATTACCACTAATAACCCTAAAAAATACCAGGCGAATAGGAATTATTTACGGTTATAAAGTGGTCTTAATAACGTAAAATTATGACTTATGAGTAACATTTACCATTAAGTAAACATTCTGACGTTAAAATTACCGTTAAATTTTCCTTTAGGTGAAAATACTTATAAGTAATTTTCTTTCGTAAAAAATACGTCCCTCATAATTCTTTAAAGTGTTGAAACTTAAGGGTTATTAAAATAGGTAAAAATAACATAAATAAAACTTATTAAATAACTTTAAAAAAAGTTTTACTTTAAAGTAAATTTTTAAGGTTAATTTAACAAAATATTTACTTAAATTAAGTAATATTGCCTCAAAGCTCTACACTTTTACTTAAAATGCTGCTTGGGTGATGTGTTAAACAAATATTAGAAAAAAACTAGAAAAAATTTAAAAAAGTGGGAAAAAGTCATAATTTTTTTATCAAATAATTTTTTTTTACTCTTCTAAAGTTACTCCCAAAGTTTAAGATTTTTAGATTAATTTTTAACCTGAGCCCTGACTTAAAAAAAAAATCAGAAAAAATTCTTATAAAGAGGAAAAAATTTTTTTTTTCAAATTAAGTTTTTCTCACTTTTTGACTCTACCAAAGTTTCAGATTATTAAATTATTTTTTAAACAGCTCCAACCACTTATTTTTTTTAAATTCAGATTTCAGTTTTTTAAATTAATTTTTAAACTGAGTGAGAAAAACCATATTTTTAAATCATAAATACAATTTTTCCCCAAAAAAGACAATTTTTCCAATGCCTGAAAAAAAAAAACGGAAAAAAAACATTTTTTTTCCCACAATTTTTGAATTAAATCAGACTTTTTTGAATTATTTCACTTAAAAAATATATTTGTTCAAGTCAAATAGTCGAATAGTTTTTGATCAGACGCACCATTAATTATTTATTAATAAATTAAATTAACCAATCACAGGCGTGTTTTAGCAGAATGATTAGTAGTGTAAAATGACCTTAATTATACGGTTGACATTGTCACTGTCAGTGTTTTAGTTTTTAGGTTAGTTTTAACTTTTTTTGGGGAAAATTGGTGGCCCTAATACAGATTAATAATCGTTTTAAACGTTGTGTTTCTTACAGATGCGCTTGTAAGCCTAAACAACAGTATTACTTCTCTTTTGGTAAAAATAAACCTTATTCCATCAGGGCTGTCATTATACTGTCAAATTTCAATTTTAAGGTTAATTCACCATAACCCACAAATTTAAATTTGATAGTTTGACGACAGCCCTGATAGAATAAAGTTTGAAATGGTTGTTCTCGGCACTTAAAGGCCTCATTTGAGGCTTACAAGTGCCTCTGTAAGAAACGCAACTCTTAAAACGATTTTTAATCTGTACAAACATAAAAATGGCCGCCGTTAGATTCTGCGCAGTGTTGCGGTGATTTTTAGTATGCGCGAAAACTTAATTATTAAATCGTTAAAAAAAAATTGACTTTTGAGACTAAACTAAACTTAATGTGGAGGTTCTCAAGGTTCAATCGCGTGGGGTCGCGCGTGAAATCCGAGGCCGACTTGGAAGAGATCATGGACAACCTGCAGGAGCAGGCCATGGAGGACAAAAAGATGCGCAGCTACGCGGTGATTCCCCCGATTTTGCTCGACGCTAAGGAGCGTAAAATCAAGTACGAAGACGACAACGGCCACGTCGAGGACATGGAGGCGGTCTACAAGGAGCGGAAGTTCCTCAACGTGTGGACGCCGCAGGAGAAGGAGGTGTTCAAGGAGAAGTTCCTGCAGCACCCGAAGAACTTCGTCGTCATAGCTTCGTATCTCGACAGGAAGAGCGTTTCCGATTGCGTGCAGCACTACTACTTGAGCAAGAAGACCGAGAACTACAAGCAGCTGCTCAGGAAGAGCAGACAAAGGACGCGCAGCTCGAGAAACAACACGCAGAAGGTCAACAACGCCGCCAATGCCTCGGTGGTGGACATTCTAACCACGGGTGAGTCGCACTAACATCATTTTTTCCAGCGTCGTTAAAATTTGAATTTTTTCTGACCTATACTTTTTATGGTTTCATTCGAGGCGTTTTGTAATTTTAAACATTTCCGTGAAATCGGAATTTCAATTGAGTTTACCGTTTTCGAGATATTTACAAAAAATATAAATTTCTATGACGTCGCAAACCTCGCCATGTGACCAACATTCTAAGATTTCTATTGGTTGAAAATTACCCTGTTGTCAAGTTGTCTTGTTAATAATTTCATTCGGTTATGTCAGAAAATACCCGAAGAGGTTATGTACAAATACTGTCACTGTCAGTTGAGTGAAAGATGGTCACCAAATTCACTTCCTTATTACGAGGTATCATATTACTGTTTGATATTTTAGAGTCCAAGATATATCCAAAAGAATATAAAGAACTAGGCATTATACTAATGAAATGCATTTACGACAAAATATGATTATAATTATAGGGACTTACTTTATTTGTTTAAAAGCTCCAATGTTCAATGTAACCAACCATTCCACAAGATTCCTCTGCTTTGGAGTCCGTTATTAATAAATCACTTATCTAATATCAATTACAAATATCATAACAATAACATTGATTTTCAATAATCTAAATTTAAAAAAAACTCGAAAAAAATCAATTCTTCTTCTTCTTCTCAATTAAAATTATAGATCAAGTGGTTTTAAAACTAAAATATTATAACGTGGCGCCATCTATCGTAAGAATCTTAAACTGAACACACTGGCAACCATAGAAAAAGCTGGCAACGTTGTCAATAGCCTAGTGACGTAATTAGGGGATTTTTTTTGTAAATATCTCGAAAACGGTAAACTCAATTGAAATTCCGATTTCGCAGAAATGTTTAATATTACAAAACGCCTTGCATAAAACCATAAAAAGTATAGGTCAGAAAAAATTTAACTACCCCATTAATTATCGTAATGTATTTTCATTTTTCCTGATAAAAAACTCGCCAAACTGAAGTTCGGAGGTAACTGCAGTTCTCGTTGGAAACTTTCGCCGCTCTTCGCTAGATGGCGCGCGGATGCAACTTTTGGAGCGCGATCGATTAAATTTAATTTCGCATCACTTTTATTTTGTTTGATTTAATAAAATCAAATATTTTCGCGTAATTAAGCGTGCCCTTGCATTGCGTTTCAATTAGTTTATTATTTATTCGTCGGATTAATGTTTTTGTGCGGTTTTAAAAATAATATAAACGATGCGGATGTATATTTAAAAAAATGTTCGTTTTAATATTGAAAAATGACGAGATTTTATTATTTTATATTTTTCATATTTTTACAGTGTAGATTAAAATAAATTTTTGAATGCTAAAAGTTAAAAATATCCAAGTAAAAATTGTTATTTTTTATCTTGAAAAGTATCATTTTTTTCACTATTAACTAAGCTACAAGTTGATAATAATTTTACTGCAAAATATGTTTTCTACACTCTGTGGAAAATGGCAATTGAAGTTTTAATGCAACAACCCAATTATTTTATATATTTTTGGAAAGAAAAAGCAATTTTCATTTTATATATACAGGGTGGTTCACCTAACTTATTTATTAGAAGTTTAGTTAAAGTTTAGGTAAAATTCTAGAATAACTAAAATTTGATTATTTTTTATTTTTAACAGTTTTTGAGATATTATACTAATATGTCTGTATTACCACTAATTGTAATGTTAAAAAGTTAATTTATGGTGTATCTGTTAACTATCTGTCAAAATAAAAAAAAAATTTAATATCTCAAAAACTCTTCAAAATAAAAAAAATAATCAAATTTTAGTATTTGTAGAATTATACGTAGAATTTATAAAAGCAATAATAGAAAGGGTTTGGTTTTTTATCCAAATATGTAAAAATATATAGGGTGCTCCATTAGGGTGCTTCATTTTAAAGCGAATTTTTTTTCGGTCAACAAAAATTTTGAGCTATTACAATGCTCTTAATCTTTATTTTAAGCCGTTGCTATTCAATTTTTAAATATTTCCCTTTAAAAACCATTAAAAAATTTCGAATTTCGGTTCTTAAATCTTTATACAGGATGAAATTATCTTCAAAAATTTCTATTTAAGCAAGTCTGTAAGTTGAATATGTTCTTTACAAATTGTTGTTCTACTCGGAAATCTTCTAAAATAGCAGTAAATCGTATTTGGAGACTAAACTATTGATTGTAGGTAAAAAACTTAAATAACAATTTTGTAGGGAATTTTGTGCCCTACAAATTTGTTAAGAAATATTTTTCTATATCACTTATAGTTTAGCTTGTGCAGCCACTCTAATAGTATAGTTATTACAATCGTCAGAAACTGAATTTTTAAGTGGCTTTACAAGCTAAACTTAAGTGATACAGAAAAATATTTCTTGACAAATTTGTAGGGCACAAAATTCCCTAAAAAAATTTCATTTACGTTTTTTATCTACAATCAATAGTTTAGTCTCCAAATACGATTTAATGCTATTTTAGAAGATTTTCGAGTAGAACGACAATTTGTGAAGAACATATTCAACATACAGACATTTTTGAAGATAATTTCATCCTGTATAAATATTTTAGAATCGAAATTCGAAAAAAATATTCTTAGGGACAAGCGGAAGGAGAAAAGAAAAAAAAATGTTTTTAATGGTTTTTAAAGGGAAATATTTAAAAATAAAGATGTTTTCTGACCGGTTACAAGATTTTCAGGTGGGACTTTGAAAAAAAAAACGTCACTCTAAAAGGAAGCACTTTAAAATTTGCCATTTTCCACTGGGTGCTGACTTTAAAGCAGTGCATCTTCGTTATTAACAGAGATAATAGGGTGAATTAAAAAACAAAATGTTAAGAGAAGATAGGACTACAGTTCAATTTATGCACAATTTTCTTAAGTTTTTACTTAAAGGAAAATGCTTTTCAAAGGAAGGTAACCAAAAAGCGTTTTCGGCTTGGACATTGAACATTAAAAGAGTTTTTGTACTTTTTATGCGTTGTTGACGTGTTTGTTAGATTTTTTTTTATAATTTATTTATTTACCCAAAAAGACCAAAGGTCCATAACAAGTATAATACAGTATAAAAAAATGTAGTGATTATAACAAATTTATGAAATACATTATTTTCTTAATACTCTGTAGTGTTTCTTTCTTAAAATATTAGGTTTTTCACAGCCCACTGAAAAGCGTTGATATTAGGTAGATTCTTTATTTCATTTGGTAATTCATTGAAGAGTTGCGCTGCATTTCTAGTTATACTTTTCCTACCAGTATTACATGTATTAGGAGAATAAATGTGTCATATCGATTTCTTGTAGGATAGTTATGTATATCACAAATTTTTTTCAGGTTTACATTATTTATACTTATAGTTTATATTATTTCCTTACAGGCGTGACGACGCGTCTGCAACGCGAGCAGCAACAAAAAACCGGCGTGACGTCGCGTAACAGCGCGACGCCGGCGTCGGCGGCGTCGGCAGCCGCCGCCGCGTCGTCCTCGTCAGTGCCGGGTAGCGCCGCCGCCGGCAACGAGGCGGCAACGTCGAACGACGCCGCCGCCGCCCGCAGCCCGACGCCGACGACGTCTAGCGCCGCCAACTCGACGGCGTCGGCGACGTCGGCCGCCGCCGTCGCGATAATTTCGACGGCGGGCGGCGCCACGACGGTGACGACGGCGACGGCGACGCCCGTCGCGACGGTCGTCGTCAAAACGGAGCCCGTCGACGACACGAAGGTGTTCAAGGACTTCAACTCGTACGAGGATTACAGGAACAAGACGTTTTTCGGCGCAGAGGATTCCAAAGAGAAGATCAAGGAGGAGTTGAAGACCGAGTCTACGACAGATGTCGCCAGGTGAGTTTACTAAGGAAAAAATTGTGGTGGTAAAAGTTCAATTATGCACTTTTGGTATTTGCGCCTTTGTTGCTTTAACATTGTCAAAAGTTGAACTTTTATCATGAAAAATGTGGTATATTTTTAAAATTCTGTTGTTTGTCCAAAAATTAGCCGAATAACATTTTTTTCTTTCTCTTAAAACATTAAAATTTCTCTTGATCATTGTCACTTGAATGGTTCTTTTCGAGGTAATCTATAGAGAGAATACCCCCCAAAAAAAATTCTAGTGGTAATGATCGAAATTTTTTTAATGTTTTAAAATAAGAAAAAAAAATTGAGCTCTACATCGTCCAAATCCCCAGGGGGGTATTATGGGAAATAAGTAAAAAAAAATCAAATTAAAAAGATCAAAAACCGAATACCTAATTTTTTATATTTTTTTTTGAAAAGTACATTTAAAAACAAAAAATTAAAAAAATTATACATACCTACAGGGTGTTTCACATGCGCGATCCATTAGAAGTTTCTGTGAAACGGAAAAAGATATCGATTTGAAATTTTAAAAGCGTTTATAATCCATTTAAGTCTATTTTTCTAAAATATTTTGAACAAAATGCCACTTCCGGTTTAACCGGAAGTGATATCAAATTTGTTATTTCAAATAGAACACTGCGCGCCAAAATTAACTCATAATAAGTAAAAAAAACTCTAAAACGCCTTTACCAATCTTTATGAAATTTTGTATAAAAATACTTCAACTTAATAATAATAATAATAATGTTTACTTATGTTCATTAAAACAGTGCCATTGGCCACTGGTGTCACGAAGTAATACAAAATATTAAAAAAAAAAAAATTTTAACAAAAAAAGTGGTCAAATGTAAAAATTAAAAATTAATTTTTTGTTTCAAAAATTAAAAAAAAAAATTTGGTTCGGAAAAAAAAGTGGTCAAATGTTAAAAAAACGAAAAATTACAAATTCTTTTTAAAATAAATATGAACAAATATTAAAAAAATAAAAAAAATCAAAAAATTTAAAAAAAAACTGGTCAAATGTCAAAAAAAAACGAAAAATTAAAAAATATCAAAAATAAAATAATTAATTTTTATGAAATACCTATTAATAAAAATTAACAAAAACTATAATACATAAACATATAGGTACAAAATATAAAGAAAAAATTTGAATTTTTTTAATTTTTTCATTTTAGTATTGGCAGCCTTGATCTTATATCTCAGTTTACGTGTTTGAGGGTTTTTCGAGAAAATATTTTTGAAGCTCTTTTAATAATAATAATAAAAAAACGTTCAAAAAATAACTTTAGGATTTTTTTTAAGTAAATAAAAAATTGCTGTTAAACCGTATTTTTGGTAAACTTACAAAAATACGGTGTTTCACAGCATTTTTTTATTTACTTCAAAAAGTTTTTTTCGAGAATTTTATTATTAAATAAAAGGACCCTTGAACACGTAAACTTAGATATAAGTATTTGTATCCAAAATTTTATAAAGATTGGTAAAGACGTTTTAGATTTGGATTTTTTTCACTTGATATGCGGTAATTTTGACGCGCACTGTATTTTTAAATTTAACAATTTATAAAATTTTAAATATTACTTTGTATCAAGAAACCTGTGACGGGTTAGTTGACGGTATCTATCTGTCATTGTCCAAAATTTAATGGCGTCAATTTTTAAGGTTATAAACGTTATAATAAGTGTTTTGTAAACAATATTACTGATGAAAAATAGCAATCAGTGACTTATGCAAAAAATTGACATTTTAAAAGTTATATGTACAAACAGTATTTGCTAATTTTGAAAAAAAAACTCAACAAAGCTGTAGGATGTCAACTAGATAAAGCACTAGCTCATTGCAGACAATAAAATATAAAATTTATTTTATGAAATATTTTAATAACAAAAAGAATGTTACTAAAAATGAATAAAAACTTAATAAATACAAAAGTTTTATTCCCGTTATACTCGTCCAGCAATGATTAGAAAATTTGGTACCTATTTTAAAAACTCCATATCCGCAAACTTAATTTTTTCATCGTTTTTTTTCTTTCTGTTCACTCAGATGAAATTAGGGCAAGTTCACAGGTTAAACTTTAAACATTCAATTTGTGCAAATAAATCCAAAACACTTAGTTAAGATATTTACAATTTGGGCCCATAACCTTAAATTTGAAAGAAATGCACTGGATTCTGTCATAAGTTGCCAGATTTTGTTTGAATTTACCTTCATTTAAAAAATGACATAATAAACAATTAATTAAGGTAAATTTAAAAAAAATCTGGCAACTTTTTTTGACAGAATCTGGACAATTAAAAAAAAATTCTGTTAGTATAAAACAAATCAGAACTTTTCTAAAACCCATTGGTCAAACAACGGTGTAAACATTGCAGAAGGGGTTTAACCGCCACAACAAACTCAACAGATTTCCTGCGAAAGCAAACAGACGCAGCACTGAATGGGGGCGGGGTAATAAACTTGAGTGATTTTTCGTGGGCAATGGAAGAGGCGAAATTAAAATCGCAAGAAGCAGTGGTATTAATAATGTAATAATATTAAATTCGGGACGGATATTTCCAATAGGCAAACACAATTTGCATTACAATCTGTGCGAGTGTTTTTGATCGGAGGCGGCGGGCGCCCCCCAGCATTTCGATGCAGGGGGCGGGGGGGAATGGGGGGGGGGAGGTGCGTAAATGCTGACTGCACAATTATCCGACTGGCAATTTGCAAAATTGATAACCGCGCTCTGCTCTCTCTTATGATTTAATTTGAGTTTAATAAATCGTTTTTCGGTTTGCGATTTTTTGGTTATATAAAAAATAATTCTTCTTTAGACATTCTAAATACTAAAAATAATTTATAATAACTTTTATCCTACCAAAAAATACGCCACTGATCGACTAGGAACTTGGGGCTAATCTGGTTGCCTAATTTAATTTACTATGTTATGGTTGGTAACAGTTGCCAGATTTTGTTTAAATTTAGCCTAATTACAAAAATGACAAAATCAACAGTGCAAATTGTGAATTTGGCGTTTTTATTAATTGTTGATTATGTCATTTTTGTAATAAAGGAAAATTCATCAGCATCGCCAGTGTTTATTTTTTCAATTGATATTGATCTCAGACCCTAATTTGTTAAAGTTAGTGTAGTTTGGTAAAAAAAAGTCATTAAAACATTATTTTTTATTTTATTTTTAAATCTGTTTTAATTGTTGCCTAATTGTTAAAGCAAAGTTTGGTGACCTACTATATATATATATATTAGCCATCTTTAAAAACGATGACTCATGTCTATAATTGTTTTTACAGCATATGAAGGCAATTTTTAAAAACCATACCGACGCAAACGTACCTCTTTAATATTTAATTAAAATTAAAGTATAGTTCGCGTTTTAGTGCGAATTTACCAAAAACGTGAACAATTTTATTATTTTTTTTCAGTGATCAAAACATGCCCGGACAAATAACGGAAAACAAAAAGAAGAAAGAACGAAGAAAAGAAGAAAATACTGCCATGGAAACTAGCGATGAAGAGGCAGGATCTGCACAAGGTAAGTGCTATATTTTCTTGAATATTATATACAGGGTGGGTGGTCAAAAAACGTTAAAATAATATATATATATATATATACATTGACATTTTAAATTAGACATAAACAATTAAAATTTCATCAAGATTTTTTTGACATTTGCGACATATGCTTTTAACCATGGAAAATAATTTCGCCAATATAAGTCATGGTTTACCAGATTTGTTTCAAACATCTTTGCTGTTTTTTTACTCTGATTGAAAAGCAGAAAACTTGCAATCAATTTAGTTTCATTGTAAAATAATTACCCCAAACATTGAACAAGGGTAAAAATATTTATTGATTTATTTTTTTAAATTAAAAAACATAAATGTTTTCTTTTTAATATAATAACTATATTATAGATTATTAAAAAAAATACTATTTAATAAATAATATTTTTTAAACACTTTTGAAGAATTTTAAATTCTAGACCATGTTCAACTTATTTTCTGCTTTTAAGTTTTTAAATTATGTGCTTGCTCTTGGAAATAGAAACAGTAGGTTTTGGGTAAAGGGCTCAACAAGGTTCTGAGAGGAAATTTACACTCTATTTATTTTTGGGCCCAGAAATATACTATTAAACATAGAAGAAAATGAAATGGTGGGACAAAAGGGCAACATGGGTATTTCAAATTGAATATTCATATTATAATATTATTAACAATTTTTGCCAACAATACAAGTTAAAAGGCTTTTTATAGGAAAATAAAAAATACACCCTGTAGGTAAAAGCAAATGTTTTTGCTAGAAAGTGTATGAAACGATGTTTTTATATTTTTCGTTCAAATTGTTTTTATTATTTGTAATATTTATTTGACAAATAGTTAAAAATTAAAAAACAATATTTTTATTTTTAAAATAAAATACACAGGGTAAAAAACTGTAACAATTAAATTTTAAAATTTGCTTTAGGTTTTAAAATTTGTGTGCATATATTTTTCAACATAAATTATTTAAAAAACTAAGTGTAAAAAGTTTAGTTTTCGAGAAGATAGATGGCGCCAAAGTATGAACTTCATTAAATAATACAAACGCTTTTAAAACAAGGAAACTTTATTATTACTTTCGAAACAAAAGGAAATTACAAATAATATTTACACGAAATGATATGTATATCTTTACAATTATTGCTAATTATCGACAAATAAGAAACTTAATTGGACTCGTTGTTGATGGCTTCCACGTCAATTTGACTGCTGCTGCTCTCTTCTTGCTCCACGGCGCTGCTTTCAGGCACCATTTCATTGTTCTTGTTGTTATTATCCGCCATCTCCTCCGGATGGCACATCTTGCGGTGCTTGTGCACGAAGTAGTAGCTGGGGAACTTTGATCCGCACGATTTGCACGGGTAGTACTGCACGTTCATGTCCAGCAATTTTACTTCGCGCTTGACTGTTGTTTGTTCTTTCGGAGCCGTTTTGGCCTCCAAACTGACCGGATTTAAATGCCTCCGCGCGTGCTTCTGGAAGCAGTACTGCGACTTGAACGTGTGGTTGCAGTAGAGGCACGTGAAGATTTCCGTATTCTCTTCGTCCTCGATCTTGTTGTGTATGTTCTCGTTCATTATTTTGTTCAGCACCGCGTTTCTGTTGATGTTTTGCTCTTGCACTGCGACTGCTTGCGTTTCATTGATTGGTAAGCCGTAGTTCTTGTTGAGCACCCTATGGAAGCGCACTGGGCCATCGCAGCAGGCTATGTCTATCGTGAATTTCTCCCCCATTGTAACCTCCTTCTTTTTCGACTTTTTCTCCACCATAATCTTCTTGGTTTCCACCGTGCTCTCCACTTTAGACGTGGACGCTTTGCTTTGCTCATATGACACAACTTTAAACGGCGTGTCTTCGGATTTCTTCAGCATGCTGTAGGTGTTGTTTGGCGGGAATATCTGCTGCGTTGGCATCGCTGCCTTACGGCTCGCTATCGGCTTGATCACGCCGCAGGTGTTGGATCGTTGCGGAACATCCGCATTCTGACTGTGCAGCAAAAACGACCTGCATATCTCCAAGGCTTTCGGCATGTGTAGAATGTGCGTGGCCAGAAGAATGTTGTAGATGTTTTGCAGGTTTAAATCCAAGTAGCCGGTGTACATAAAAGTAAGCAGCGAGGAGAATTCGTCCACGTTCACGTTTGGCACCGCGATGGGGGAAGTACCTGCAACATAACACACTTATAATCACAGTTAGGGGTAACCAAAACAAAGTTACCGTTTTGGTTGAGGAGGGCGGCCTTGAAAAAACCGCTGTGCGTGGATAGGACGGCTTTGTGCGCGGAAAATTGAGTTAATGATGGGCCAACTTGCAAAGTAACATCAGGTGCTCCCGGTATGTTGGATGGGGTTGTTAAATTCAAAGGTTGTTGGGTTGGTATCAGCGACAACGGGGCGTCGCATGGTCCCAACGAGAGCCACGCTCGGTACAGGGAGTACATTTTTATCCCTACACGAAGAAAAAATTAATAATAATAGGTAACGAAATGCGTGAAATATAAAAAATTATTAATCCATCGTTTTCGACGCGACGCGTTTTTATTTCGACTCGTGATGTTGATTGCCCGGTAGATGTGTTATTACTGAGCGCTCGCACAGATGATATCGGCGATTTAAATGAGTTTTGATCGTGGCAGTTTGTTGCGGTGGCGGGGGCGAGGGGCTAAAGGGGGATGAATTGTAGGTACATATCTGACCCCCACTCTGCTCTTCCTTGCGTTGCAAATGAGGATGACGGGGATGAATTTTTCGGTTACGATTTCGTCAGATTTCCATACGTAAAACAAAGTGTAAACCACATAAGGAATATTATTTATTTAAAATTTATATAGGAATCTTAAATAAACATTTAGTTAATTTAGAAGTTCTACAGAAAAGAATAATAAAGATTATACTGGGCCACAACATTTATACCCCTCAAACTTGGCATATATAGAATCCGAATTATTGGATATTAGACAATTGTATTTTTTAAATGCTAGTATTCGTCTCTTCGAAAATAACAACCCCAAATCATGAGTACCAAACAAGAAACTGTAATTATTTGACATCCAAAATTAACAAAGTAATTGGACAACGTTCGTATTCATTTTTATCAGTAAAAATTGCCAACAACATTCCAAGGGAGATACTAAATAGAGCTTCAAAATATACTTAAAAAAAAAAAAAAAATATATATATATATAGTATACCAAGACAATAAATACACAGTATAATATAAAAAAAAATTAAGCGTTCTACATTTTGCTAGTTCTTAAGTTTTTACCATGTGTGTACATTTTATTATTTTATTTTATTACTTGTAAATATTTATATTTTTATTAGTATTTTATTATAATCTTAATTTTTATCAATAAATTTTAATTATTGTAATTTTTGGTAAATAAACTATTATTATTATTATTATATATGCCGTTGTTTTAAAGATTTTAGTTTTTTTCTTATAAATATATAAAAAGAATATTTTGTTTGTTTAAACTTTATTTACGTTTACTTAAAAATAAGAATATTTCAATTTTTGATAATAGTTTTATAAAAACATGCAAAAAAGTATAGTAATTGGACATTTTATATAGTAATTGGACACATGGACCATAGTTATTGGACAATTTTGTATGTTTTGTTTACATCAAATAACATAAATTGTTAAATATTTTTTAGGTAATTTTTTTTATTTTGTTTTTGTAAATATCATATTATTTATATATTTCTTTCTCGGATTCCTCATCCCTTTTCTGGATTCTGAAGCTACCTACTAATTCCTTGGTCTGACTTCTGAAATAGTTTGTTGCAAATATCATCAAGTGTGGTATCTCTAGTTTGTGAAGCATTTATAATGTTTAGGCCGGAACAGGATGATTTATATATATCTCATATTTTTTCGGGTGGTATGTTAAAAATATTTTCCGAATTTATTAATTTTTTATGTTATTCGAAGAAATCACTCTCTAAAAATGAATAAGTCAAAAATGTCATAGCGAAAAAGCAGCCACTAATAATTCTCGCCAACAGTAATTTGTATCCATTTAGCGGTCAATTCCTATGAAATATTATTCGCTGAATCGGAAAATGTCATAACGAAAAAGCAGCCACTAATAATTCTCGCCAACAGTAATTTGTATCCATTTAGCGGTCAATTCCTATGAAATATTATTCGCTGAATCGGAAAATGTCGTCAAAAGTTATGAAAGTAGAACAGTTTTTGAAATATAATCAATTTTACAAATAATATGGAATTGACTATATCTCAAAAACTGCTTAACTTTTATAGTTTTTGACGGTCTTTTCGGATTCAGGGGACAATTTTACATAAGAATTGGCTGGTTAATACAAATATGATATTGGACGTATGTCCAATAATAGAAATTTACATTTTTTACCAACCAGTAATTGGACACTGGCCATTTTACGAATTAAAATTAAAACGCATTAAAGTGACAATGTTTAAACCATGAGGAACATATTTATACCACGCACTGATCTGTACACTTTTTAGAAATATTTTTTATTGTAACTTAAACACAGCCCTATTCTTAACAAAAAAACAAAAATCTTAAAAAGTAACGTGCGAACTTTTTTGTCCTATATTGGACCCAAAATAAAGTAGATCTGTATTATTACCGACTGATATCGTTTTAATTGTATACAGCGTCTTCTAATGATTTGACATTTTATTTGACATTTCATCTGTCACGTGACAACTGTCAAGCGGTTTTAACCTCACTTTCCCAAGTCAATGCTCTCTTTTGTGTTCTAAAGTAGGTATAAAATGTAATCAATTTATCCCCCCCCCCTTCGCGACAGTTCGTCGTACATCAATCGATGTAATCGAGATAAAAGCCAGCGATGCCATGGCTTAATAATCGAAACAATTTTCACTAAATTATTCTATTTGCTACGTATTGCTTTTCATAATAACGCGTGCCTAGATATGCGATCTCTATCGGCGAAAAATACATTTATTTTATTATTTTAAACGACCTTAATAATATACAGGGTGATACAAACGGGCCCTTTAATTATTTAAGAATAAAAAAAACGTTATAATAATTTTAATTTGTCTTTGAAAATAGCAATAATCACGAAACTTTTTCTTCTTTTAATTTGTAAGTCACTGATCATTAATAGTCCTGGACCCATTCACCATTGGAGTCCAATGATTGGACAACATTCACGTGTGTTCACATAAAATTTTAATTTCTTTTTTCGACTCCCACCTTTAAAACGCCCTTTATCGTACATGTTTCCATGACACTAAGTGACCTTTTAAATACACATTGACAAGTTGTGGCTTTACGGCGCTTTAGTCACGGGCTGAAGTTAGCAACAGGTTTTTAGTCACGGGCTGAAGTTAGTTTTAAGTTAGTTGACAGTTGTCAAATGTCATACAATTGTTAAAATAAATTGCCTTTCTTGTAAAATAATACTAAATGTGAAAATTATTTTATTATCTCAATACAAAAATACAAAAGTATTAAATAGTTTCTCAACGCCAATATTTGAAAAGTTTATATGAACATTGTACTGACCTTTTAATTTCGCCGGCAGTAAACTATAACTTAAATTCGGGTACGGACTCCACTGTAAAGTGCTCATAAAACATTTTCTTTACTTTCACTGAAAAACTGTAAATTTTCAAGATACATTTTGATTTATAACCTTTATAATTGTGTTTATAAAATGTAAAAATGTGACATTTGACAGTTTCCCCTGTTGTTTCATAGATGGCGCTCTATACAAATTTTTGATTTAAATCATTTTAAGATAATAATAAGTATTTATCGTAGAAAAAGTATAGTATGCACCTCGTTTATAAACTTTTCTTTACACTCATTAACTTAAGCACTCGCTCGCAAGCTCGCTCGTGCCTAAATTAAATTCGTGTACAAAATGGCGTTTATCAAACTTGATACATAATATACTATTATATACATTCTTTTGAAAGCGAAGATTATTATCCGCTAGGAATACCTTGTCTCTCCTGGGACGTAGTCACCTATATTTAACTACTTTTAATATTATTTTCATTTTTAACTACGAATTTTGACAACTCAACTTTTTTTAAAAATTTATAATAATTTTAAAATAGCTGGAAGCTGATAAATAAGTTTAAAGCCAAACAAATTAATAAAATAAGAAGAAAACATAGAAAGGGCAAAATTATCAGCGCACTTTTCTCTAATTAAATGAATAATTGAGACTTCAATTTCAAACCTTTGTGTGTGTGTGTGTGTGCATGGAGGACCAGCAGCAGCAGTAGCAAGCGCATCACTGCTAATATACATGTATTTTATATCCGGAGGCTTTAACTTTGAGCATATTTTATTATATGATAGCAGTTAAGTGTTTTTGATTTAATGAGCCCAGCAATAATTGACTTTGTTGATGTTACAACGCGGAGTTATCAAGCCTCCGAGCTAAATAAGACCAAACTATATTTTTTACTATTCGCCATTTTTTTTATAAAAATAGTTGTAAATTTTACATATACGGGTCATTTTCAAAAAACACCCGCTTTCAGGAAAATAAAGATCAAAATATTTTTTTTGCCTAAATTGACTTTTGGTTGGATTTTTATAAAATTTAATTCGATAAAAAAAGTTGTTATAAAAATAATTTGAAATAAAGTGTACTTAGTTCACAAACTTTTGACTCCAATTTTTTATTTTATTTTTTATTAAAAATTGTATGCTTTTTTTTAAATATGTATGTTCGTTAAGTTACTTTTTAAAAGAAACCATTCCGATTCTTTGTTAAAAAAACAATACCATTAATATTTTCTTTTAGTCACTGTATTAGTGAATTAAACTCTAATTTATAAACACGTATTACCAAGTGATAGTGTATAAAAATCATTTTAAGTAATTTTTTAACAAAAACTAAAAAAAGTACCGAAATAGACATTGGTATCACAAAGGACTTAATCAGATATCGTAAAAAAGAAACTATATAGGGTGGTACGATTTTAGAGTAATGCATAAACAAAATCCCTTGTAGTGGTGCTCACTTGCAGAATAACAACTTAGATTTCTAAATTGTAGACACCCTTTTTCTTTGACTATAAGCTGGTGAAGGTCCCTTTTAGTACTTTTATATTGCGTGGAATTTTTCCTTGGATGTAATCTATATCATGAGTTGTAATTACAAATAATTTTAAATTGGTTAATCATAAACTACTTTTAATAAAAGCAACGGTAAATATCCACTTTGTTGTCGAAAAATTCTATTGCGTTACCATAAGGTAACATAGTGGACTCGGTAACGCAGTGGACAAAGTTTTGTAAAACCATATTTAAAAAATAATAAGACATTATAGTCATTAATTACTCTCAATGAGCTGTAGTGCCCTAAAATAAACATAAACATGAAAAATAGTATTTTTTTTTACCTTATTCTTATTATTTTTTTGAGTAACTTAGCGGACAAACAATTATTACATTCGCGTTACCCGCACCAGTTTCAACCGATATCTTCTTCCTGATTGAATAAATAAATTCAGCTGGGTAATGTGTACGTCCGAACGTCATTTGTTGATCACGTGAGTGCCAAAAAAGTTGCCATATATATGTTTTTTTTTAATATTCTATCGGTAACGCAACGGAAAAAATGTCTGGGACATGATTTAAATTTAAAAAAAAGTAGATTAAAATTAATTATTTTATATATAAATTGTTTACTGTATTAACTAAGGATGTTATGGATTGATATAAAGCAACACAAAGTTCTGGTTATT